AAATTCTACAGTTCATGCAGTTGAACGTGGTCAAAGTAAATGTAGTGACTCGTCATCTAAGAATCAGCGTTGTCAAAATCAAACGTTAATTGATGGTGTAGAACTTATTACATGTTGCTGTAAATCGGATCGTTGCAACAGTAAGTCAATGGTTTGAATTGATTTATCGTTACGAGGACTGATCACAATAATAATGCAGCGATCACATCGATTTCTGTTACTGAGGATCATGAAAGTTGGTTTTCTCATGTAGTTTAGCTTGCCGATTCTGACAGCGAAAACTAATGTTCCGTTTTTTCCCCAAATATTCAGCTACTCAAAAATGCTGGTTTTGAGTTTTAGAGACCGAACGAGGTAATATGATTTGATTTTTTCTTCAAGTCGGCTGTGAAACAGCTCAGTTTAGTTAAAGTAACGAGCTTTTTCCTTAATATTTTGGGTGGACTTCTAGACCAGGTATAATATCAGAAAAGTCAGAAAGTACTCTAGAAGCCGATAGTCGATAGCTATTCAATAGCATTTTTCACATAAAATAAGTTAGAGCTCGATTTTTAAAGAAGTCCATCATCTAGTTGCGTGAGACGATCATTCAGCGTTGATCTATCTTTCGAATGGTAGTTTCTTTAAAATAGAGCCGAGTAAGAACATGTGGTTCAAGATTTTGTCATAGAAAATAGCTCTGTGAGTATGGATAATCAGTCGATATAAATCTATAATTCTCGGAAAAGTAAAGTTTTCTCGAGGAAATTCTCGCAAAATAATATGTTTCCACCTGTATATCTCAATTTTCGTGCGCTTTCAAATCTAGATCATTGAAAGACGTGCAAAAGCCTGTAGCAGAACTCTTATGTCTACTTAGCTACGTTATTGACTGTCTGTTCTAAGGCATCGTACTACTGTAAAACTTAGCAGTTTTTTCCAGTACAAAACTCGCACTTTTTCCCTATAAGAGACCTTTCATTTCTACGCAAAATGAATTTTTTTTATTGCCGAAGAAGCTCCTTGAATTAAGACGGTTTTTGAGAAAAACGAGTGTGAGAACGGCTACACTCAGAAATAGTGACATGAACTTTCGCCATTAAAAGCATCATGTAAAACTACATTTTTCTTTTCTTTTGTCTATAGTTAATACCATGATTAGTACGCTCTTTAAAGACTATTCGAACAATGTATTTATACCATTTTCTTCATAATTAGATCTTATTGCACCACCAAGTATATGTTTCATTTGTAATGAACAATCAGGTGTTGACTGTGTGAGATCAGAAAATTTAAACTGTACCAGCAATCCTAACCTCTGCCAAAGAACTAAGCCAAATGAACGTTGTTATGTAAGTCTTTACAAGTGAGTTAGCGAGCAACTCCTCGAAAGTTCATTTTTTATTTTTAGTCAACAGCAATCCGACCCAATCATAATACCGCTCTTATTCAACGTGGTATTATGTTAGCTGAAAAATGTCCTCTCAACGGGTGTAGTAGCTATGAGTCAGTCGCTGGTACGAGAATAGAGACATGTTGTTGTCAAGGAGATTTTTGTAATACTCAGTGAGTGATTATTTTTCTTCAAGTGAATAAACCAGACAATATATAGTTTGTGCGGAGAAGTTAAACAGAACTAAGTTTTTGATTGGATTTCAATGAAGGCCAGAGCGAGAGAGAAGAATCCGATCAAGAACAATTAATAAACAGTGCTCGTTCATTCAAATCGCATTGCTATATGGAAAGTCTACAAATTGACTCCTAAAAATGCGATTTTGTCCAACGATTGCAATTACTTCCTCCTCAAAAAGTACTGAGGAGATTTTGTCGTTACCAAGTAGTCCGGTTTTTTCGTAGGAAAAACGTAGTTTTGGGTTTCTTCAGAACTGTATTCCCGGCCAAACATCTTCATAAGCTGCTCAAAAACTTTTCTTCTAAAACTATTGTATCGTATTCAAGCCGTGATATTACTAGCTGAGGAAACGATCGATATTTTGATTCTGGTGTATTTGCTCAATTGTGAAAGCCTCAAATTGCAGCTTTTACAATTACTATCTTTAATATACCTTGTCTTCCTGTTCTAGACATTCATTTTCCATTTGCTATTCGATCAGTCAAATACATTCTAGAACGGCAACCGTTTGCTGAAGACTTACCGTAAGAGTGTGTATTTTACTTGAACTAAAACAGTCACGAAAAGATATGTCTGGAAATTCTCTTCAGTTTTGAGTTTAAAAAATCATTCTCGCCTCAGGTATGGAATACTCTATCTCAAGCTTTTTCTATCATGTTTGCAAATCTGAATAAACGCAGTTCTTTGATAACGATAATAGACTTTTCTTCCTTTCCAGCAACGTGTAACAGAGTCTTTATTGAGTTCAAGGTTATCCTAATTAAATTTACGGTCAATTTAACGGTTCTACCGCCGGACCTTTTTTTTCCTATTTATAGCGTTATAACGCTATTAAAACATGCTTTTTCTTAAATTATGGTATTACAACGCTACAGATTTATCTTATTACAACGCGATAGACGTAGCCCATCGTGTTATAACGCGTTACAAAGTTTTTTCAGGAATTTATGGCGTTGTAACTGGATAAAAATAACGTTATAATACTTTAGATGTTTTATCTAATTATAATGTTCATCGGCACTCCCGGAGAATTTTTAGATCTGATGGAATTTCTTCTTCGTCTTCACTTTCACTTGACTATCCTACATGTAACCCATTATCTATGATTATCGTTTGCTATTCATGAAATTTTGATCTGTTGCAATAAATGTATATGTGTCAGAAATCTGCAACTTACAACAAGTGCAACGCCACCATTATATGAATTATATCTTAGCCAAACTTTTAGAAAAACTTGCTAGCGCAGTGAGCTTCAGTATCAAGACACTCTCAGAAATTACGAATATCTGACAGAATGTTAAATTGAGTTGAGCACATTAGACGTTTTTGCTAATCATATAGACTATCTTTAAAACATTAATGCCTTTCAACTTTGAGTGCAAACATATCATGACTAAGTATACAAGTTGTTTAAAAAAGCCTTAGAGTATAGATAATTTGATTGTATACATATTTTATGTTAACAAATACGCATGGCTTTGCAAAAATTGAATGATTTTCAAATGAACAAACTTTGCAGTTCTCTGTGTGATGTGATCTGCATATCTGCCTCAAGTTGTATTGATAACAAACAACGTTCACAGTGATCTCATTTCTGTTTATAATCACCATGTATGTAAATGGAAAATAGATCAGGATCTATGAAAATATTATGTTCATTCATATATACGTTCGTTTGAAATGCTAGCTGCAGTTAATTGAAACTATTCTCTTTTACTTTTTGTGATTGTTCAAAACGAATCTGTAAATGAATTTGTCGCAAATATGTTAATGATGATAATAATCGAGACCAAGGATGTACTTCAGTTTTATCACTAATTATATAGCCATACAGTTTGAGACGTTTTAAATATTCAAGAATAAATATTCTAATTCCTGAAATTCTATACTGTTTAGACGCATGATTAGTGTTGACAAATTCAACGGGATAACAGCTGATTGTGTTAGTGTTAAAGTATTATTCTTATTATCACCTACGTAGACATTTAAATATTTTAAGTAAGGTAGTTGTATCAATAGATTATGTACAGAATTTGTATTAAGAAGATAAAAATTAAATGTAAAATGTTGAAGCTTCGATATTGCTGCTGTTGTTGTCAATGCGATTAGGTTTGATACAGAACGATGATGGTCATAAGAAGCATCAAGTTTTAGTGTTTTCAACTGAGGTTTATTTTGTATTAACAATGTTAATAAATTACTTATAAAATCGCCATCACCATATCGAACACGATCTAAATCAATTGATATTGATTCCAATTGTTGATACTTTTGAGTTAGGAATGACATAATTTGATCTTCGACCATTTTGTATAAAATTAACAATTTCAAGTTTGCAAATTCTTCCACATGACAATATTTACCACATAATTTCAGCGACTGTAGTTGTTCTGACTGTATTTCCTTTTGAATATTTGATAAAAAATAGTTGAAATTGTCTCCTCTGTTAAATCAACATGCAATACAAGATAACGATTAGTTAATATTTTATATCGCGTGTTCAGATTGAAAAATGATGTAAAAAGGTCAAAAACATTGAAATAATCGAATATATCAAAGATAATATCGGTTGGAAGGTATTCAAACGTCACTGGTATGACTGAGTAATTTTTACACCTTTTTACTTTTGTAACGCTTCAATAAAATCTCTTCATTTGAGTAGAATTTGAAAGAAAAAGAAATATGGTATTGACTTAATATCTAAACAGGAAGAATTATGACTGATTATATATTTTTTCTTCTCAGTGTTCTGTATTCTACAAGTAATTGTGCAATGATATAAACTATAAGAAAACTATATATACATAACAACATAACATCAATACAAGCCATAAACAGGTATTATTAAGGGCATCCCTTCCAGAGCCCAAAACGAGGCAGGATTTTGCTCCTTCGCCTCGATTCGCTTCGAAAGCTGTTGCCCTCGATTCGCTTCGATTCGACTCTATTTTTTCCAAGGCCGCCTCGCCTCGCTTCGTGAGATGTTTGCTTCGCCTCGCCTCATCTTTTCTCAGAAAAAAAACAGATTCCAAGTATGCGATATCATTTTTTAGTTAGTATGTATGAAAGTAATTAAAAAGTTTAGTTAATTGATATAAGACAGCTTTATTGTTTGAGAAGTGAACAAAAATAATTTAATCAACAAACAAGAAAACATTAGGCGATGTCCGTTCATGAAGTTCATATTTTCATCTTATTATTTTCAAGCGAGTGAAGTAGCAAGGTATCATTGACCGTAAATGGTTCTAATGAGGAACGCCGCTGAGTTACGATTTGACCAGCCGCGCTAAATTCGCGCTTTACCGCAGCAGAGTTACATGGTATTGCAAAATATCGTTTTGCCAAACGAGATAAAGATGAAAATTTAGATTCGTATTTCTTCCAAAAGTCAAGTGGACTAAGGTATGTTTCATCTTGAAGATCTAGATACCTATCAACTTTCGCAGCTTTGACGTATTTTTTCTTGGTTATTCGATTATTTTCCATTAAAGATTTCAAAAAAACCTTTGGTAACTTCGATGGTGATTCTTCAATACATTCTTCCTGAATATCATATTTCGCGTTTGTCGTTATAACCATGCGGCAAGCTTGATGACCATCGTCGATTTGTGTGGACGTTGCTGATCTCAAAGTTTTATAATTCGGATGCAGAAATGCACCCATCACATGTGCGTGATGCACCCATCACAATAAAGATGGTGAATTGCCCTTTTGTTTCAGAGATTGTTATTTGATTTAGATTTTGAATCTCACGATTCAAACTAGCCTGTAAACAAAACAAACAGTCAATGAGTGAAAAACTTTGAAAAGCAGTCATAAATACTTTCTTAACGTAAGTCACAAGTGACTTACAATCTTCGATTGTTTGCAGGATGTGTTTAGCTGATTGAGGAAGATTGTTGAGCGTTGTTGTTGTATAGTCGATGAGAAATAATTGACCATCATCATATTCTTCGTCTTCACATGATTCTTCTGTAGAATCACTATCGTCGTGATTCTCTTCTTCATCTATATAATAACAATCAATCTCTGGAGAGCCTCTATGAATGTTGTTATTGTTGTCGTTGTTATTTTCTTCGTAATTTTTGTCGGTGTTTTTTCTGTTTCGATAATTATTTTGGAGATTGTTTTGCTTGGTGTCATTTTCATCTTTTTCTTCTTCGACTGTTGATAGAATGTTGCTTTTAATATGTTATTTAATCGATGCGCTACACAGTGTAGCACCTTGACGGATTGCAAACCTTTGACGAAGTTTGAACCTCTGTCAGTAACAAATGTGATTGAATCCATGTACTTGTCTAAACCGTAAATTTGTAATTGTTGCTCAATAATCTAAATAAATAGTAAATAATAAATTTCGGCATCATTTTATCAAGCTTTTCTCTTACTTTCACTATTTCAGTTCTAGATTTTTTTTGGTTTAAATTCAACACAGAATAGATCGATGGAATGGAATATAAATTGATGATCAACATAGTGAGCTGTTGCTCCAAGATACGAAACTTTTCTGTAATTATCGGTCCAGATATCTGGACTCAAATATAGTCCTTCAATCTCTGTTACTTCAATGAGTGGATGTTTCAATGCTTTACGTTCTTGTTCAGCCATCTTGTTGATTTCATTTCTAATTGTTCGATCACAAGATAAGATTTCATCTGCGGGGACTGGCTGATCAGAACGAAGTTCTCGACCTAAATATAAAATGAACGATTTACGATTTTTCTCGTCAACAAAACTATTTCCGCTTACATACCAATATTCAAACACTCTTGGATAATCTTTCAAAATCCTTGATCAGAAACGATTTGAAATGGACGCATCGACGATGATATCCATTGGGCACAAAGTTTTTTAATGTTTTCCTTTTTATTCTGCAATTGCATTTCGATCATATGAGAACGTCGTGGAAGCGAATGAATGCTGTGCTCAAGTGATTGTTGACCTTCTAATAAGGTCTTCGGACTATGATGCTCATTCAGACTAGTGGTACTTCCATCGAGATAACGAAAAGTTTCAAAACAATGTTTACAAGAAACAAAACCTGGTATACGTTCACTCTGGTTTTGATTTGTAACTCGAACTGGAAATCCAAATGCTGTCCAACATGCAGCCGTCAGCCGTTTATTGGAATTGTCCACGACTTTGTATTCATTTTTCTTATTCTTAAGGAGATTTTCAATCGATTTGCAAGAGTAAGAAGCATTCGACACAGGTTTTGTCGATTTTGGAGAGCAATAATAATAGATTCATCATTGGAAGCCATTAGACCAGATATCAGCTGCAGGTTTCCGACTAAATAATCAAATTAATTGGAATTTGAATGTGTACAAGCATCACCATGAAAACGAATTGAAGAACTTTATTATGCAACGTGTAACAACAAATGTTGTGCTATATTCCAAGTCTGTTTTATTTTATCAATATCATCTCCAGACAGGTTGGACGAGGTCAGTGCCCGCTTGCGGACGTGCATGATTATTGGTACACAACGACTACAACAATGAATAATTTTTCAATGCAAGGAAGAAACATCAATCAAAAATTCGCACACATTCCTCTAAGAAATATAGTTATTTTTTGACGAGGTGGCCGTTGTGGCATCGGTTCGCTTCGCCTTGCCTCGCTTCGATTGGTAATTTAAAAATTCAGCTTCGCTTCGTCTGAGACGACGAAGCGAGGCGCCTCGATGATTCTTCGCTTCGTTTCGTGCTCTGATCCCTTCCTCTTTTTTGCCCCTCTTGAAAATTGGAACAGCCAATGCTGGATCGCGGTGAAATTTATACCAGAGATAGAACATCAAAAACGAAAATCGATGTGTTTTTGCCCCGAATCTTCGACATATTCTTTTCTGGATTTTCTAGAAAACTCTAGTTTTCATCAGTTCACATTATGGCCCCCGGAAAAAATGGTCCAATCTCGGTGGAAATTTTACTGCAGATATCTCAGGTTCGTTTTTTTTCTTCTCGAAGAATATACCTTCCTTCTCTAAACCTTTATCACCAACAGATGGTTTTAAAAATATTGTCTCGTCAGTATTCCACCAAAGATATTGATAATTTTTCCGATGATGAACAAGTGATAAAACAACATTTGATGGTTCAAAAAGATATTTTTTTACTTGATCTCCCATTCGACCGTTTGATTCCTGTAAATGCAGGTAAACCGGTCAAACTAAATCTCCTCTTAAACTGATGGTTTGTTGTACAGTGTAAGAATGCGTTAAAGCACTTTTCGATTTGACTGACGCTAGCGCAAATTTTTCGAGAAAAATATTTTTTTGGTGGAAAAATAGATCTTACGGAAACTTGGACTGGTTCTTACTACGCACACAGTCATTGAGACTGTCTTTATAAAAAAAAGAGAAGCACACGTATGACGCCATTTTTACAAGCGTTATTAATTCATCGCAATTTAATCACGCCGTCGCTGTCTGACATTTAACACTGTTGATGCGTCTACTAAAAACAAAAATAGAAATACTTCATGCAGAACAATGAGTGATAGAAATACATAAAAAATTTAAAGTGGGCCTGACCGGGGATCGAACCCGGGGCCTCTCGCACCCAAAGCGAGAATCATACCACTAGACCATCAGGCTACGATCTTACCTTCGATCCAAGAAAGGTCTGTAATAGTAAAAATGGTTATAAAATGTTCTGTATATCTGTCGACTTCGACAGTTTAGTTCATATTATCAATAGGTCTTTGTCGGCACAATAGAAACACACGCTTACTGCATTATCGCAAAATCGACTTTTAATATGCTGAACAGAATCGGTCCAAATTTTTTTCTGAATAGATTATTGAATGAATGTATGGACAGCAAAATATCTCTATATTCAAATCACTTTTCGCGTAATAAGATCACGTAAGAATTCATCAGATTTTATAAGATTATGTGCCTGATCGTGTTCTATAAATTTCCTGTAGACCCTCTTGAAAAAATACCTTTCTATAATATTTTCTGGCAGAGGTAGGACACAAACGTCCTTAGGATCGTGTTTAACCACGTTTCTTGTAGCCATGCACTTTATTTGCGCTCAGCTGATGTGTGAAGTCGACGAAAGAAAGAAATATAAGAACTATGTTATATATATACTCAATCTCATAGCAAAATTTATGGGGTAAGAATGAGTCATCGATTCTTGCAAGATCTTATAACAAGAAATCGTATGATCTTGCGATAAGAAATAAATACAAGTCACGTCTCTCAATGGCAAGACCTTGTAAGATCATACGCTTTCGTGTTACAAGATCTTGTCACGTTATGAGCTGACCATGTAAGTTCTTATAACAAGAAGTTACAATATTCCGCAAGGATCTTACAACATCTTAAGACAAGATCTTGTAAGATCAAGCAGTAAGATCTTAATATAAGATTTCATAAGAAAACGGTAGATCTTATATAATCTTGTAACATGAGTTCCACCTGGGATGTCGACATGAGCGAGTCTGACATGAGCCGGATAGTTTCAAAGCAGAATATGTGCAGTGATCAGCGGTATTGTACTTCATTCTCATCGTGTGAAAGTTATTATTCTTTGTTTGATAAGAACAAGGACTATTAACAACTTCACACATTACTCAAATAACTCATTATTTCTTACACGAGGATAGTAATCGACTTGCCAATAGCGGTTAGTTAGTGCTAACAGAAATATCTATTTATATAAAAAATGTAATGGGCGATCCAAGCATAGACCATCGCAGGACAAGGTTGCTGCGTTGTTCTGCCGCCCTGCCAATCAAAAATTCCTTGCTTTGTCCGGCGCGAAATTGATTTTTGAGATTTTCAAGGTTTTTTTGGTTCATATCTCTTGCTCATCCAAAATTGATAATTAATAGAAAAAATGATTCTGTTACGCACGAGAAACACATCCGATGGTGAGCTTCTTGAAGATAAAGTCTTCTAGGTTAAGGAGAAAAATTTTCTTTTGCATTGCAAGGCGCCTTGCCCAGTCAGACAGGACAGGATCAAAAATTTTGTATGAGTAATCTTTGAACAGGATAGGGCAGGACGGAAAAATTTGCCGTGCTGTGGTCTTTGATCCGAAGCTGTTTAAAGATATCGCATGTGTAGTTCTTTTTACAATTCACGAATGAAGAAGAGTCTAATTTACATAGTTATTTGATCGAAGTTGAGTATCACTACTACGTGTTCTCGAAATATTCTTCTTATATTCAATAATTTTCAATATAATTATATCTAGTTTAGCTATCGAGCATTACTTTGTTTGATTACAAATGGTAAATGTTTTGTATTACAGAAATTACGTAACTTTGTTTCGATATAGAATAGTCTAATTTTTCTTTTTTCTTTCTGCATCTTCGCTCTTTTCTTCTAATACCTGGCTGTGCATATAGTTATTCATGAAATATGACACAGTACTTGATTTGATACTGTAATTTATTTCTTTTATACTGTTATCGCATTTATATTTGTATGAAGCGTTCAAGCATGACTATTTGCTAATAAAAGTTTCAAATTTCGTTTATGTTTGTTTTTTTGTGATACAACGTGTGTACGTATATACTTGAAGACCTAATACTCTGCATTTTAGTTGTCAAGTTAAATGATGGAATTCATAAATGAGAAAGACCGGTACTCCTTTCAGATTTTAATGTATTTGCGTTATGGTTAATAGAGGGAAAAAAATACACAAAACGTATTTTAAAAAGTCCCAAAAATTCAACTAGATTCCATTAACAATACCTCTCTCCTCTTTTGAGCTTTCCATAGAAATGCTGTAAAATAAAAAATAAAACTCACTAAGGCGTCGTATTTTCAGAACTAATTGGAAACTCGATGAAACATTTTTTGTTTTAGTTTCAAGTTTATAACTAATACCATTTACGAGTTTTTCAGAAAACTCGGTTTTTCATTGTGTCACAAAACGACCCCCTTAAATTTCACCCGCTCGAGTTAAAAGTTTTACCAGAGGTACTCAAGGTACTATCACAGAGGTACGTTTTTGGAATTTTAGTTTAGACCTTTCTTTACCGACTTATAGGGTTTCTAAAACTGGAAAACTTGGTTTTTGACAGGTTTATCAGTATTTTTCCTATAACTCGACTAGGAAAGATCTAAGATAAAATTTCAAAGACGTACCTCTGCAATAGTACCTTGAGTACTTCTTGTAAAACTTTTAACTCGAGCGGGTGAAATTTAAGGGGGTCGTATTGTGACACAATGAAAAACCGAGTTTTCTGGAAAACTCGTGAACGGTAATAGTTATAAACTTGAAATAAAAACAAAAAAATGCTCTGTTGAGTTTTCAATCAGTTCTGAAAATATGAAGCCCTGGTAATTTTTAGTTCTTACTTCACAGCATTGCTTGAAAGCCCAAAGAGAGGGGGTGGGTACCCAATTAGGCAGTGACCACGGCCACTGCTCAATTAGACAGATGATAACAGCCCTTAACCCTTTGTATCTCTCAGTCAGTATATTCTTGACATGTATTCACTTCTATATACAAACTTTCATTGAAAAATAACTCTCACGTATAAGTTTATAACGAAAGTTTTACTGAAAAGAATAGTTTTCTGAGCACGGTGAGTTTCAGGTTCTGACCTCTTGCTGGATCTATAAATTCAGAATAATGACACCAATCTAAAACCACAATATCTTATTCAATAGAGGCGAGTATAATGAACAACTTTCTATGAACAGAATGCTTCTGGGATGTTTCATTGAGAAGGCGTGTGGCGCAAGAAATACTTTTTGCACTAGATGCAAAATAGTTAGGAAAATCGACTTTTGGTAATTTTGAAAGTTTCATAACTCCGCTAAAGTTTATCCAACCCGCGAGTTATTGCAACCCCAGATCCATGGAGGTGTTCTCTACAACCCTGAGCTGGAAAATTTTTTTATGACTTGTGACTTGATTTGACTTGACCGGACGATCTTTTTAAAAGACTTGACTTGACTTTTGACTTAGCATAAAATCAAGTCAAGTCACGCATATTTTTAAACCTCTTATACAATCTAATTTTAAATAATAATTCAGAACGTTTTGAAAATATTGATGTTATAACGTAACGTCTCAACTGAGATACAATCTATATTTTAATCAAGTATCTCAGTTGAGAAACCATTATTTCTGCGAAAATATTCGTTTCTCAACTGAGAAATAATTTTGACACATGCGTTGAAACGTGCAATTATGCAAGAGTGCAGAGTGCAAAGTCTACTGTTCAATAGTTCTACAAAATCTACAAGAATTACACCGACTTTCACGCCATTTTGCATACTTAGACATTTTTCACAAAACTCATGATTCAAACATAAGACGTGGAGAGCAACGAATATAGCTAGTCAGTAGAGATACATCATATATCTAATTTCATTTCATTCACTATTGAATAATAGATCTTTGTACACTGCAACCTTGCATGCTTCAACGCATATGTCAAAATTGTATCTCAGTAGAAAAACGAATGTTTTCGCAGAAATAATGATTTCTCATCTGAGATACTTGATTAAAATATGAATTGTATCTCAGTTGAGTCCAAACCTATTATAATATGAACTATATTAGACTCATTAGAGCATTGTCTTTCGAAATACGAAAAAGAAACATCGTATCTAAACAAAAAGCCGAAGTTCACAGAAAACCTGTAACTCGCTCAGCTCCGCTTTGGACATTTTTCTGCCGAAAAATATTTCAAGTCATGACTTGTGACTTGACTTGGAAAAACCCGAAACTTGACTTGACTTGATTGGAGAAATTTTTTTATTACTCATGACTTGACTTAAGAAAATTTTTGATGACTTGATTTGACTTGCCCAGCTCTGCTACAAACTGACAAAATTTGAGGGTATGTTTGGGGGGCGCGCCCCCCAAACATACCCTCAAATTTTGTCAGTTTGTGGGCATACCGAGGCTATCCCTCCCTTAAGATTAGTTAGAGATAAATATATTCTGATTAAAAGATTGGTTTTGAATTTCAGAGTAATTAGTTAATATCGATGAGTGTAGTTAAGATTGATAATGAGGAATTACTTGCTCAACTAAATGAGCAACTAAATGACAAACTTGATAATAATCTATGGAATGGAAATACACTTGATATTGAAGCTGGGCAATGGAAAATAACTCTTGATCGTCATCATATTTATACTCGAATGTATGCAAGTTTTGTCAATTTAAATCATTTCCATTTTACAATTCATCATCGTCATGAACATTTCCTTCATTTAAAGGAGTTTATTCATAGTTTAAAGGAAACTAAATTAAAATTAGATGATCCAACATTTAACGATAAATATGTAACTAAATCGAATGATAATAATAAATTAATTGAATTATTAGATGATCCAACAATTCGTCTTCTTCTAATGGCTGAACATAAAATACATGTAAATGTACGCCAAAGTAATGAGCATTATTTATTTCACCATAGTGATGATAATGATAATTCAAAATTATCAACAAATGTTAGTGAATTACATTTAAACATATTTCACTTTGTTAAAGATATTGATCAGTTAAAAGAATTATTCTATTTATTTGTTGCGATATTAGAACGTCTGCAACAAATTGGCGAAATAGATGCAAATGATTAGTTGACAACTATTGCTCCACAACTATGACTACACTTTAAGTCATGCATAACTTCTTCTTTTAACTTGAGAGTCTGCAAAAAATTTAATTATTTATCTCGTGCTGTGTAGTATTTACAACTCTAATGGAAGATAAGTAGATGGAGAAATTCAAATTTTCTTTCTTTGACTACAGTCTTCATTCATCTGGATTACTAAAATTTGGACAATCGGAATTTCATCATGCCGAATTTAGACAATATTGACGATTGCGCGGAATTTGGACAAATTGCCTAAATTCTAGTTGACTTTGACAATTCTTGTGGATTTACAACGTTGTCCAGAACACTAGTGGAAATTAGACAATGATGATGTTTAGTTAAAATTTTATTGAACTTGTACATCATTTTTTTTGGGTTTTCTTTGTTTGTTGGTACATCCTGTTGTTTGGCAAATATTTGATGTGTTAGATAAAAAAATTAATATTTCTGAATCCAGTCCAAATTCTGTTGTTCAATCTTCCACTGTCCAAAATCCGCATAGCCAATTTTCAATTGTTCAAAAGGGAACTTACCATTCGCTTTAATATTGATAATTGTAAAGTTTGGTCGAACTGCTTGAAAGCATCTGAATAATATTACTTAGTACGGAACAAGAACTAGAGCAATGGACAGGCGATAATAGTACCGACAAGGATAATGCGATAGCAGATATATTAGTAATAACGTCAGTTGATAAGTACGAAAAACTGTTAAACTGACTAAAGGACTAAGTAGAATCAAAGATATTGTAGTAAACGTGAAATATACTTTTGGCAATATGATCGTCTAATTGCATACTGTCAAATACTCTGTCGGTCGTCGCTAAAATCCTTAAAAAAGCTCATCCTAAAGCCGTTTCTTTAAGATAAACTCATTTTTAATCAAAATAAGGCAGATACTCGGTATCAGCACAATATTTGAAATCGAACGAGGTATCTTTTAAGCGGCGCTTACTTTTGCGTATCGAGAATTTTTAAGCCGTTGCTTTCACTCAAACATTCGAAACATCTGAATGAAAGCAGGGCTGCAAACTTCAACAATCTCGGTGCATCGTAAAAAACATATCTTTTCGACTCAAAAGCTGCGGTGACTCCGAAATCAACTCAATCTTTTTGCTTGGCAGTGGATTGTCAGTTACGAAAACTGTTTTTATGGCGAGAAGTGTGATCACAGACGTTACAGAAAGTATTCGAAAAATTACATTACTTCGTGATCTTTTATGGAAGAAAGTGATCAGCTGATCTGAAGCACAGCCACCAAAGCTACAAAACTCACGAGGGAAGGCCACCAACTGCCTCCTCGCTTTTGAGCTGAAACTCAGTTGACAATGGGTAATCGAACGTGCTGATTCCGAATATCACAATGGTTTTTCCCCGCTTTCGATTTAAAGACCG